CGCGACGCGCTTGAAACCGTTGACGTAGTGCGCAGTGACAATAACAACAATGACGCCGATGATGATAATGATGAGAGTGGAGAATATCCGATTACGCGGAGCGTAATCGGGTATTCTCAAACTACAACACGATGAGATGCGAGATTAGATGTGCATACAGAATAAACTTTGACAAGCCCAACAGCATTGGATCCAGGTCGAAGCGTATACTGCGACCGCGAAAATGGCATGAATCGGACATGTCGATCAACATAATGAACATAAACGTTATCCACGTAGAGTGTAACGTGACCACGGGTGCGTACAGCAATGGCAAAAGCGCGCACACGATACACGAATTTTCGCCGAGCGTGCCGCCAGGATATAAGATATCGGAAAGGCCGACGCAGATCATTTATCTACCGATCATAGCACGGAGCATTACGGATCTAACGATACGCGTCGTCGACCAGAACGGACGATTGCTCGATTTTCGAGAATAAGAGATCGTTATATTGCACGTACGACGTCTGCAGTGATAACGTGAGCGTGAGATGCTCGTGCTGAACGGAACGGAGCGCGCACAGAGAGATAACATATTCTTTACAAGGCCGACGTCACAGCTCGATAACACTCGCTCATCCAACTGCATTAGGAAGAAGAAGAAGAAGCTCATCGCGTCGAACGTTACATTTTTAAAGTCTTTGGGATTCGCGGTGCGCAACATTTGAAATGACTGATATCCTAAACATTAAAGATGAGCCGATCTTCGACGATCGCATCGTCAAGATTGAGACTCACACATACAACCCGTTCGTCAACAACGTTCGGGTACAGCGATGAGATAAGAATACCCATACAGCAACAGGATCTGTACACACTGCTGTACGAAAGCTTTCTATACGTCGAGGAAAAACTGACGAAGAACAAAGTGGTCCAGGGTGCTAACGTGTCATTGGGAAATAATTGCGTTGCATTTATATTCGATGAGATTCGATATGAACTCAACGGTGTGGAGATTGATCGTAACAGAAACGTGGGCATAACTAGCACGATCAAAAACTATGTAACAGTGTCATCCGACAGAAGTGTGATTCTGTGGAATGCCGGCTGGGACGCGCAGATTACTGCGGCCAGATACTTTAATTTCTGTGTGCCGCTCTACGTACTGCTGGGATTTTGCGAAGATTACAGACGTGTGGTGATCAACGCTCGTCACGAATTGATTTTAATACTAGCGCGCAACGACAACAATTGTCTGATGGGAGATTCGATGACAGAGCCGACGCTCGAATTATTCAAAGTACAGTGGCGAATACCGCACGTGTTATTGAGCGAGATAAATAAGCTGTCGATGCTGCGCGCTATGGAGAGCGGACGATATCTGAGCATGGCTTTTCGCTCTTGGAATCTGTACGATCCCAAGAGCACAACCAAGCATTCGTGGGCCATCAAGACGGCTAGTCAGCTCGAGAAGCTGCGCTACGTCATTTTCGCTATGCAAACAGATCGAAAAAATATCATGTCCGAGGATATAAGTCGATTCGACCACTGCAAATTAACCAATGCTAAACTCTACCTGAATACGGAATATTATCCGTACGATGATTTGAATCTAGATTTTGATAAAAACAGATGTGCGATTCTGTACGACTTGTACGCGCGTTTCTGCAAGGGCTACTATGGATACGAGTATCTCGAGCCGAGTCTCACCTTTACAACTTTTTTACGTAATGGCCCGTTCGTAATCATCGATTGCTCTCGACAGAACGAATCGGTCAAGAGTGGCACCGTGGACGTGCGATTAGACTTTGAATGTAAGGAGAACGTGCCCGCAAATATAACAGCCTATTGTCTCATCATACACGATCGTGTGGTTCAGTATAATCCGTTGACCAACGTTGTGCGCAAAATCACCTAAATGCACCTCCGACACGATATAAAATCTACGATACGCCGCAATTGATCACAATATTCTCGACAACATGTCTATGCCAACGTTCGTGGATCTGCAAGGATTCATCGTTAACAAGAAATTTATTGTGAAGGAAGTGGCGGTGCTGAAACAGGGGACTGTTCTCACGCATTATATTTTTACGAGTCCCATATCATGAAAATTTTTGACAAGATCCGACAGGTCTTGCGCTTCCTAGTTGAGTGCTTATCACCATGGATTGCGATAGGAGGACGGGATGGTTCCGTACAACGAGGCGAAACGTCTGATCACAGCAGCTGTATTTGAAGATGATACTATCGTGTACGTTAAGGGACGCGAGAACGTGGAACTTGCTTCTGGACGATGAGCGAGGACGCATGTACATCGACACCTTGGATGCAGTTTACGAAGACGTCGAATCTTTAACTAATCTGGATGTTACTAATACTATGCGATGTGGACAACATGTTAAGAATTGCGCGTTGCAAAATGTATTAAAAATATATAACTGGTGATTGCAAAAGAATTTTTTAAATAAAAATATGTTAACGTATTTATTATATATTTCTTTTTTCCCTTCCTTTATAATACATGTATAAACTCTATTGCTTCCGCGGGATATTCCAGAGAGGGGGAAGGAGGAGAAGGATCCATCACAACTCCGGAAACTCCGGAGACGCTCTCCTCCTCCGAGATTTCAGCGGAGACTTCGGCGGAGACATTTTCCTCCAGGACTCCTTCTCCTCCAGTGGAGACTCTCTCTTCTTCCTCCTTCTCTTCCTCCACCACGTCATCGAGATTGTCGATGAGGCGGTCAAATTCACTTTTATTTAAAATAATGTTTAAAATATTACTTTTATTTATTTTTATTTGAGTCATATCATCCACCTCATCGGCAATCTCGATGAGACGATAAAATAAGTCGATTTGACTTACGTGGAGTTGAGTTAAATCAATTGTGATATATGTAGTATTCGGTTGGGAGGAAGAGGAGAAGGAGGAGGAGGAGGAGGAGGCAACCTCCTCAACCTTTTGTAATTTTTTATCACTCATAATGTAGCTGCACTCGAAAAAATTATCACTATCATTAACACTTAATCACAAAATATGCAAAAGTATTCTACCATTAACGCTAAATAGTAGAATACTTTTGCACGATACTAAAAAATCGCACAGTACAAATTCACTATAATTCAAAAAAAAAAGAACGATGTACAAAGATACATGTGTAAAAAGAACGAACCTCCCACAGATGAAACTTAACAAAGACTGACGCTGAAAAGCATCCTTTGCTGCGACGAAGCTGCTAGAGCGACCATTGTGTATTAAGCACTTTAGATCATAAGTGTTGCCAGACTATGGAACCCTAGACATTTTAAGAGAAGCGCTAGCAGATGTTTATATAAACAGAGTGTGATAGTGCGTCGAGGTATAGGATGGATGGACGGATGGCGACTAACAAATAAAATACATACTCTTATATAAAATGATGTGGACGAAAATTTTTTTTTATTCTCATGTTATTACATCGTTCTTTTTTTTATTAAAAAGTAAAGTTAATAGTTCGCAATCGATGAGCTGACGCCTATTGAAGAAGTCGCTGTCGCGTATGGCGTTCTCAGACGAGTCGGACTAATCGTTCGAACGTTACATCGATACACCGTCAGAGTCAAACATACGGCGTAGCGTCGTTTCGGTCATCGTAATGCGTACCGACGAAGAATCGAGACGTACGAGCATAGCATCATTCAACGTACAAACTCTGACGATTAGCAGTCCAACTTATAAAATTGTCCTTGTATTTGTTTCGAAGCATTTTGTAAATATTTTATCGCTGCTCGTAGAGACTCTTCCAGGTTCGAGAGACAGCGACAGTTCGTGTCCGCGATGATCTTTCAAGACGATCTCCACGTAACTCGGTGGACCAACGTTGATTCCAATTTCCAAAAATTTATAGCCCGTATTCGTCAGATCGTAACGTCTGCTCAGTAAACGTATCGCACGATGCTGCGGACTGCATACCTACATACATAATGTTAAAAAAAAAAAAGTTTTCTTTTTGTGTATAGAACGTTGAAACTTATAATACATGTTATATTCCTTCTTCACGTCGTACGATGCGCTGCTCTCTTTGGCGAAGTACATTTTATTTTAACTGTTCATACAAGCGGGTATCGCAAGACTGATTGCATCCGCGTAAATTGTGACGTATATGGTAATAATCGAAGAAGAGAGACAGGTTCTCCTTACAATTTCTAAGAATTTCAAAACGTGTCGCGACATGTTTTATCACGTCTTTCTACGTATTTTTTTTGTCACAAGCTTATACGTACATTCATACATACATTTATACGTACGTTCATACATTTATATAAACATACATACATTTATACATACATATATTTATACGTTTATGCATATACGTTTATACATATACATACGTACGTTTATACATATACGTTTATACGAGTTTATACATGTATTATAAAGGAAGGGAAAAAAGAAATATATAATAAATACGTTAACATATTTTTATTTAAAAAATTCTTTTGCAATCACCAGTTATATATTTTTAATACATTTTGCAACGCGCAATTCTTAACATGTTGTCCACATCGCATAGTATTAGTAACATCCAGATTAGTTAAAGATTCGACGTCTTCGTAAACTGCATCCAAGGTGTCGATGTACATGCGTCCTCGCTCATCGTCCAGAAGCAAGTTCCACGTTCTCGCGTCCCTTAACGTACACGATAGTATCATCTTCAAATACAGCTGCTGTGATCAGACGTTTCGCCTCGTTGTACGGAACCATCCCGTCCTCCTATCGCAATCCATGGTGATAAGCACTCAACTAGGAAGCGCAAGACCTGTCGGATCTTGTCAAAAATTTTCATGATATGGGACTCGTAAAAATATAATGCGTGAGAACAGTCCCCTGTTTCAGCACCGCCACTTCCTTCACAATAAATTTCTTGTTAACGATGAATCCTTGCAGATCCACGAACGTTGGCATAGACATGTTGTCGAGAATATTGTGATCAATTGCGGCGTATCGTAGATTTTATATCGTGTCGGAGGTGCATTTAGGTGATTTTGCGCACAACGTTGGTCAACGGATTATACTGAACCACACGATCGTGTATGATGAGACAATAGGCTGTTATATTTGCGGGCACGTTCTCCTTACATTCAAAGTCTAATCGCACGTCCACGGTGCCACTCTTGACCGATTCGTTCTGTCGAGAGCAATCGATGATTACGAACGGGCCATTACGTAAAAAAGTTGTAAAGGTGAGACTCGGCTCGAGATACTCGTATCCATAGTAGCCCTTGCAGAAACGCGCGTACAAGTCGTACAGAATCGCACATCTGTTTTTATCAAAATCTAGATTCAAATCATCGTACGGATAATATTCCGTATTCAGGTAGAGTTTAGCATTGGTTAATTTGCAGTGGTCGAATCGACTTATATCCTCGGACATGATATTTTTTCGATCTGTTTGCATAGCGAAAATGACGTAGCGCAGCTTCTCGAGCTGACTAGCCGTCTTGATGGCCCACGAATGCTTGGTTGTGCTCTTGGGATCGTACAGATTCCAAGAGCGAAAAGCCATGCTCAGATATCGTCCGCTCTCCATAGCGCGCAGCATCGACAGCTTATTTATCTCGCTCAATAACACGTGCGGTATTCGCCACTGTACTTTGAATAATTCGAGCGTCGGCTCTGTCATCGAATCTCCCATCAGACAATTGTTGTCGTTGCGCGCTAGTATTAAAATCAATTCGTGACGAGCGTTGATCACCACACGTCTGTAATCTTCGCAAAATCCCAGCAGTACGTAGAGCGGCACACAGAAATTAAAGTATCTGGCCGCAGTAATCTGCGCGTCCCAGCCGGCATTCCACAGAATCACACTTCTGTCGGATGACACTGTTACATAGTTTTTGATCGTGCTAGTTATGCCCACGTTTCTGTTACGATCAATCTCCACACCGTTGAGTTCATATCGAATCTCATCGAATATAAATGCAACGCAATTATTTCCCAATGACACGTTAGCACCCTGGACCACTTTGTTCTTCGTCAGTTTTTCCTCGACGTATAGAAAGCTTTCGTACAGCAGTGTGTACAGATCCTGTTGCTGTATGGGTATTCTTATCTCATCGCTGTACCCGAACGTTGTTGACGAACGGGTTGTATGTGTGAGTCTCAATCTTGACGATGCGATCGTCGAAGATCGGCTCATCTTTAATGTTTAGGATATCAGTCATTTCAAATGTTGCGCACCGCGAATCCCAAAGACTTTAAAAATGTAACGTTCGACGCGATGAGCTTCTTCTTCTTCTTCCTAATGCAGTTGGATGAGCGAGTGTTATCGAGCTGTGACGTCGGCCTTGTAAAGAATATGTTATCTCTCTGTGCGCGCTCCGTTCCGTTCAGCACGAGCATCTCACGCTCACGTTATCACTGCAGACGTCGTACGTGCAATATAACGATCTCTTATTCTCGAAAATCGAGCAATCGTCCGTTCTGGTCGACGACGCGTATCGTTAGATCCGTAATGCTCCGTGCTATGATCGGTAGATAAATGATCTGCGTCGGCCTTTCCGATATCTTATATCCTGGCGGCACGCTCGGCGAAAATTCGTGTATCGTGTGCGCGCTTTTGCCATTGCTGTACGCACCCGTGGTCACGTTACACTCTACGCGGATAACGCCGCGGCGGCGGCGGCGGCGGCGGCGGCAATGCCGGGATCTTCTCGCGTCTTCCCCCTCTATCGCGCCTTCCTCCGCGCCCGCGAGTACTCCCCACGCTCCGCGCTCCCGCGCCTATAAGTATCCCCCCCCCTGCCCCGCGCTCTCCTCTAGCCCCCAGGATTAGAACCCGCTATACTATACTACCCTTCATCCTGTTGAATTGGAATATAATAGTTTATGCTTCGAAATATTTTATTTTCTCGGAGACTTTATAATTAACAATAGCTGTCTGAACTCTGTTGAAGCTCTCTGAACGACTGATACGGTAATTTGCTTGGAGCTCTTCTTTTAAATAGTGTTCGCTTCCACATTTTTTTATACGTCCTAAAATGGAGAGGAGATTTTTTTTATATACGTTATACTTTGAAGAACAGTTGCAACGTAGTCGAAGGATACCAAATTAACACATATCATAAGAATGCACTCTAACGACATCGAATCTTTTTTTATCTAAAGAATCAGTGCCAACGACAATAAAGTCTGTCTGCTTCTATTCTCTTTTCAAAAATGGAGTTTAGACAGTGTATCAATTCTAGAGAATTTTGCTTATCTTCAGAAATACGCGAGTTCATTTTTCACTGTAACTTCTATCTAGCATACGTTAAACTATACAATAACACATATCATAAGAATGCATTTTGACGATACCCAGACCCTTTTTTATCTTTAGGGATCGACAATAAAGTCTCTGTTCCCATTCTCTTTTCAAAATATTTTTTTTTTTGCTTATCTTTACGACTGCGATAAAAAATTATTCCTTCGGAAACACGTTAAAACTTACTGAAATATGTTCAAACATGTTAAAACGTGCAGCAAATCAAATGCATCTTTCCATACTACATAAAACGAAAAGATTTTCTTCTCTAGGAACTCATTTTATCAGCAATCGAGCAACAGTTCAGAATGACAATATGGATCAAACGGAGCGTCTCATAGCGCAAGCCGCTCAATTGAATACGTGAGAAGAGTTTCTTGCGTGGGAACAACGTTGGGATAATTTCATCAAATCGCTGGAAAAACAGAGTTGAATTAAGCGTCCATGATTATCGATTGGAGTTAAACAATCTTTGATCGCGCGACTTGAGAATTTAAAAGATACGGTGAGTGGATGTTTCGCGCAAGTAGATGCCAGATATAACGCGGGATTTCGATAGCGCGAGATTGATACAACGTTCGAAAGTCGTATATTGACCAGTGCTGTGATAAACTCTAAACACATCGAACCTCGTCAATTCCTCGAAGATGCAAAAAAAAGTAGTGCTTGAGTGTGTGCAAAATTCAGAGACATGATAATATTAAGATAAACACAGTGTTTAATGGTGAATCTGTGCTGGGTAATAAATGTGCAAATAAAAATGTGAGCACAGAAGTTATGAATTCTTCCGTTCATCCGATTTACACGAGTGGTACGCGTTGAACGTCGTCGAGCCTATCTTGACATCGCTGGAGGAATTCCAGGAGCGCGATAGTGAGCGGATACGCTGTCGCGTATATTGAATTTAACAGTAAACAAGTACAATCCTCTGCACGCGGGATGTCATATCCATCAAATTCCCGCGAGAAATTAAAATAAAGAGAGGTGTGGTTAATGTGCAATCCCTAGGCAACGCGTGCTTCGCATGGTCGGTGGTTGCTGCTCTACACCCAGCTAAAAAACGGAGCGAGAGCCATTATATCTGCACGATTGTAATAAATCTTCAAGACATGTTCCTAATGACGCTGAATCAAATTAAAAAATTTGAAAATCTTAATATCTCCGTCAATGTGTACTCGAGAACCAGAAAGAAATAACAATCCTTTCATTACGGCTCACCGATATGAAGAAAAACAAGCACGTCAATCTATTGTACGTGCAGGATCCTCAAGATGATAACGTGAAGATTTCAAGTTGATCAAGGATCTCGCCTTGCGAGCTCGCAAATCAACAAAAATGAGCAAAAAATACTTTTGCAATTGGTATGTATACATTTAATTAAAAATTATAAAAAAATTTTTTTGTAATAACACAAAATGTTCTTTATAAAAATAATAATTTTTTTTAGATACTTACATTATTTTAGATCAAAACTGGAAATCCATATAGCAGACTGTGGAAAACTTAAAAACTGTGCGATTAGGCTGTCCAGTGAGGACAAGTGGTTAAGTTTCAGCACCTACTGCAGAAAACGCGTATTTGTCATATATGCCTAAAATGCACTCTAGAAAGGATGGAAAAGGAAGATATGAAAACATTAAGCTACACGTACCAACATCATCAGGTTTTTAGTATAGCGTACTATGTTCATTGCTCATACAATGACTCGCTGTCGAAGTATCGTTTTCGTCGCGATAACGATTGCATAGCATGATTCGCCGAGGAACTAAAAAATTTAACATATAAAACTATCAGTCAAAACTATCTTATTCGCTAACGTTTTCATGGCAGATTTTACGCGAGACGATTGGATAAAATTTAACAGTGCTACGCACTGCTATGTATAAGAAACCGTTCGCAAAAGATGACACACGGGTATGATCATTGCCATCTCATCAGGCGATATAGAGACCTCGCACATTCAAATTGCAACTTAAATTACAAAGATTTGCATTTCATTTCCATAGTTTTTTTCATAATTTACTGGGATACGACGCACATTTCATCATCAAAGAAATAGCCACCGCTCATGAAGGACGTATAAATTTATTACCGATAACAAAAGAAAAATACATTTCGTTTACGAGTGTCGATAGCACTATAGACAAAAATGATCAAAAGAAAACTTGTATAAAATAGCGTTTAAATTTCTCGCATCAAGTTTAGAAAAATTGGTATCGTATCTTGATAAAGATAAATTAAAAATTATACAGTCAGAATTTCTTAATTTCAACCTGGAGGATTTCGATCTACTCACGCGTAAAAGTGTATTTTCGTACGAGCACGTTGACTGCGTCGAAAAATTGGAAGAAGCTGAGTTACCATCATGCAAATCGTTTTATACCAGGTGTACAAGTATGAAATGCGGATTTTTTTTCCAAAAAAAACACGTTAAATTCGGAAGAATGATAAAAAGAGCTTTATTCAAAGTATGCTCCATTGCTAGTTACATATTTTTCCCATCTTTCGGGCAATTTGTGGATACCACGCCAGTAAAAATCTTCCCCCTTTGCCGCGAACCATTCATCGAGCCATTTTTTCACATCTTCGTACGAACCAAAGCGCTGCTCAGCAAGTGCATGACCCATCGATGCAAACAAGTGGTAATCGGAAGGAGCCAAGTCTGGTGAGTAAGCCGCATGGGGTAGAACTTCCCAGCTGAGTGCTTCCAACGTGTCGCGAACCGGTTTTGTCGTATGTGATGGAGCATTGTCATGAAGAAAAATGACTTTGTATTGTCTCTTTTGGTATTCTGGTCTTTTTTCAAGCAGCGAACGGTTCAAATCGATCAATTATTGTTGGTAGCGTCCAGCATTAACCGTTTCATCAGGTTTTAACAGCTCATAATAGACCACACCCTTCTGGTCCCACCAAACACAGAGCATCGTCTTTCTGTCAAAGCGATTCGGTCTTGCGGTCGATGTGGATGGTGCGCCTGGGTCTACCCATGATTTTTTGCGCTTGGGATTCTCAAAATAAATCCACTTTTTATCCCCACTAACGATACGATCGTCTCGCAAAAACGACTTCCTTTTGTATCGTGCAAGCAAAATTTCACATGTGTTTTTGCGCCTCTCCATCTGCCTGCCGTCCAAGTCATGCGGTACCCATCTTCCGGTCTTCTGAATCTTTCCCATCTCTCGTAGGCGATTGGAAACAGCTTGTTGACTAACGCTCAATTGCTCTGCGAGTTGTTTTTGTGTTTGTGAATCATCTTCGTCCAACAATGCTTGCAATTCCACATCTTCGTACCTTTTTGGCGGTTTTCCGTGTTCCTTGTCTGCAACATCGAAGTCACCACTTTTAAAACGCCGAAACCATCGTTCACACGTATCTTGCGATGGAGCATGTTCACCATAAACTTCTCGAAATAATCGGTATGATTCAGCAGCAGTTTTCTTCAAATGAAAACAAAAAATTAATGTTGTCCGCGAATGCTCTTTGTTTGGTATAAATTTCGACATATCGAACACAGCAACACTATGCAAACACTTTTTCAATTTATCACTCGTGCGCGTCTGACACTTGTTGATGGCACTTCAAAATGACATAATAGTCAAATCTTTATACCACACACTGCATTGATGCGCCATCTGTTTTCTCAAATCCGCATTTCATACTTGTACACCTGGTAGTTTGTTAACGAAACACTGTATCCGAGAGTGATTACGCGCACGCCGTGAATGTATGGCAGCGATTCTTCATTCGAATCCTCGACGAATATAGCGATCTGTACTTAAAAACAGACGTATTGTTGGCCGATATATTTAAGAATTTTCGGAATAGTTGCATCACCAGTTATGGATTCGATCCGTATTATTACACTACCAAATTTTACGTGAGACGCGATATTG